TCATATAATTACAACACACTGGTGAAAAATGCCTATCAGCTCTTCGAATTCACTGAATTTTCAAAATTTTCAAATTACTTAATTTTAAATTTTTACTTTTTTTGTTGTATTTTCGAATTTGTACTATCTTACATAGTTGAAAGTCACAGCAAGTTTGAATATTTTCGCAGGTTTAGAGAATAACAAAAATTCTAAAATTTTGAATTTTATGAAATTATTAAATTTCTTGAGATTACTTATTTTTAGTTTTTGTTATTTCATGGGCTTATAACAATTATATTCAACAATTTTTATTGAGCTTGCGGCCGTTTTTAATGAAAAACTTATTGTAGAAAAGCAAAAATAAGTTCAAAAATTAGGATAATTTCCACAATTTTTAAAACTATCGAAATCTGAGAGATTCTAGAAATTTTGGTAAAATGAGAATATTTTGAAATGTCAAAATTATTGAAATTTTAGAAATTTTTATATTTTCTAAAATTTTGAGAATTTTATTTATTCTGAAATTCATCCTAAAATGTAAAGATGTGAAACATCACAAATTGTCGAAAAATTCGTATGTTCATGGTACTTGTGTATAAAACCTAGAAAATATTTAGAATTCTAAAATATATTAACATATTTGAAAAAATTCCTTAATTTGCCACCTTTTTATACATTTATTTTGTGCTTTGTCTCCTTCAGTACATACTATTTTAGTATGTTATTCACGATATATGTTGAAAAAATATTAATCCTCTCCTATGTTTATGTTAATCTTCTCCTATGTTTTCAAAGCTTGTTTACTTTTTATATTCCACGGCGGAATGCTCGAGCAGCAAAAAGACTTTATAACACATGTAAACTTGATTTTGACTTTGGTTTTCAGATTTATTCTTTTAGTAGTAGAGAAAAGCACATATAATATGGTGACCCTTTTTTTCGTCAATTACCCCTTTTTTGCGACTTTCTGAAAATTATCAACGGCAACACTGAAGATCTCACTCTATAAGTCACTCATCATGCCTATGCTGGTGTATGGCGCGGAGGCATGGACAATGAACACATCTGATGAAGCGGCTCTTGGAGTTTTCGAGAGAAAGATTCTGCGAAAGATTTACGGACCTTTACACGTTGGCGATGGCGAATACCGCAGACGATTTAACGATGAGCTGTATGAGCTTACGACGATATAGTCATAGTGCAGCGAATTAAAATTCAGTGGCTGCGCTAGCTTGGCCGTGTCGTTCGAATGGACAGAAACGCTCCTGCTCTGAAAGTATTCAACGCGGGAAGCGATGCTGGTAACAGAGGAAGAGGAAGGCCTCCTCTGCGTTGGAAAGACCAGGTGGAGAAGGACTTGGCTTCACTTGGCATTTCCAAATGGCGACAGCTAGCACAGAAGAGAAATGACTGGCGTGCTGTTTGGAACTCGGTCTAAATCGCCTGGGCGGTTACAGCGCCAATAAAGAAAAAGAAGAAGATGAAAAATGTTTTCACTTCAAGGTTCCATAGAACAATAATTGGCCCCAAGGCTATATAGTTATATCACAAAGTTTTATATTAAGTATATTCTAAGTTTTTCAGCTTGATAAGTACTTTTGCCAATTTTATTGTACCTTATTCTAATCCTGATTATATTCCTTATCTGGGAGGTTCCATGGGAAACTGAACCTCATTGCAAAAATTTTTTTCTTTATAAAAAAATAAACAAACGTGAGGATAAGACATTAGCAAAAATCTTGAATCAAGCGAAGAATAACAAATTAAAGCTTTAAATGCATTTTTACGTTTTGAAATCAAGTTCTAAGTAAATTTCTTGAGTGACTTTAGGTTGCGTTGAGAGTGCTGCCAAATAATTTTCGATTCATAATTCAAATGTTTGGTAAGAAAAATATATAGTAGAACTCCTCTACTTTTAATAAAATTGTGTTATATATTAATTGTGTGAGTGCTTTATCTATATTTTGAAATATTATTAAGCAATATTAGTCTTGTCCCACACGTGACAAAAAAGGTCAAAAGTTGTTATGTATATTTATTTACAGAAGTTGAAGTTGTGTTTCGTGTTTGTTACCTAATGTTAAACATTCATTGCAAATGTTTACCACAATTGCACTTTCATTTCCACATAGTTAGACAAGAAAAATTCAACAGTGAAGCACGTCCCACCCGTGACCCGAGGTAGGTTTACAGGGCTGATAAGCTTTATTTGTTTATTGAGGTGGACGCAGGGGACGAGTGGAGGAAGCGCGGGTAAATGTACCCTTGTTGTCAACGAATTAAGTTAAATGACATTCCGAGCAGTTTTGGTTTTTTCTTTTGTTTATTTAATGTTTATAGTTTTTTTTTATAAAAATATAGCACATCATATAACCAGAACCACATAAATCCACATACTACAAACTAACAATTACACCCAAAAATTTTAAACTTTTTGTTCAGAATTTTCCGAAAAATTGTAGGTATGCAGTTGTATATCCCATTAAATTAAGAGAGGTAATGGTTAAAACTTCCAGACGCTAGGAAATCGCGTTGATTTTTAATCATTTTTTTTGGCTGGCGGTACTAGGCATTTTCTTCTATATAAAAGGCACTATTCTAAGATAAAACGTGAGTGAATTGAACCCCTACTTGGCTTCTAATATTTTTTAATAATTAATTTATTAAAGATTAGCCCACACTAAAAAATCCTTTTCATATAAAAATTCGTACGTGTTCCACCCGTGACAAAGGAATTTCGGATTTTTTTTATAATAAAGCCATAATTTTTTGTAGTTTTTTCTTTGTTTGTATTTGTGGTTCTTTGTTTTATTATATGACATCAAGTTTACATAGAAAAGTCAAATAAATTCGCAGAGTTTCCGTAAAGATAGCTGGTCCAAAAAGCAGGTTCTTTTTTTTTGTCCCGACAGAAGAAATAACTCAGATCTTTTCATATAAAAGTAAGCTGGACTTTTTTTCGTGTTTTGTAAAAAATCATATACTTAATAGTCAATTAGGCGTAGCTTTATCAAAATGTAGAATTGTTGACTACTTTATACTTAAATTTAAACAGGAAAGATCATTTTTTCTGTAGAAATGTCCCACCCATGACGGTGGAATCGCCCATCTATAACTTTTTTGACTCGCATACATATGTATGGTATATATTAATTGCTGGACCTTTTCTGTTGTTCTCCAAAAGAAATTATATTTTTCTAGCGCTCACTTTCTGTGGCCATGAACTTTCTAAGCGAGCAAAAATCATCCAAAAAGATTTAGAGTTTATTGGCACTTGTTTACAAATTTAACAATGGAAAATCGATTTTCATGACTAACGTCCGGTGATTTTATTTTGCACATTTCAAATAAGTTTGGAGACAACCCTACACAGCTAACAAACATCGCCGGCGGCACGAATATCAAACATGTCAGCGAGCACAATAAGCGCAATAACAATGCAGTTATTTTGTTATAATAACCACAACAGAGTGCTCAAGCAATACCGGAAAAGCACACGATTGTGTGGCTAACCGGAGAAAAGGCGTAGACAGTCGCCGAAGCAGAAATGTGCATTTAGCTTGGTGCGAAAGCGACGCAGTTCATTGAACAGGTTGAGACTTACAAAATGAAAAACTAAATCAGAGCCAGTGCCCAGCAAATAAGCAATCGAAAAAACCGACACGTAGATGAAAATTAAAGCGGCTACACTCAATATCTAGCCTCAGCCACATTCATTGCACTTCCAATGGCGGCACAATAATAGGTACCTGCTGGCCATTCGTAAATAAACCAACTGGCGCTGGAGCAAAATATAAATAGCTATCGTTAAAGATGTGTTGGAAAAATACAGTACAGCAGCCACAGAACAAATGCAAACGACCCAGAGTGGCAGCGCAATGAAATTCAGCAACAGACCAGACCGCATCAACGTGAGGTAGAAAGACCCGCAACCAAGGCGTTGAAAGCTTTGGATCAAACTAAAAATGCATCCACAGACCGCCAACTGAGGGAAAGACCATGAAGCCAAATACGAATACGGGCCCAGGAGTTGTATGCATGTCACGTGACTGCCACAGGCGATTGCAGCTGACTCACAAAAAGCGTAGCTGGAGAAAAGGAGTAGAAACGCAGTGGGCTTATTAAAAATTGGACTGCTTTTTGCGTGCGCTCACTATTCGGGCAAGCCATGATGTGACGGGCACGTAGTAGGTAGTAGAGGAGGAAAGCTGCCGCGAACGAGTAAATAGTAAAAGTTTTTCTAGCGCTAACTGCACTTGTATGCCATGCCAGCCAGCAGGCAAAACTGGAATGGAATGGATGAAAGCATATATAGATGGAAACGAAAAACCAAACGAGCTGGGAAAATGTGAAGAGGCAAAAATAGGTAATAGAAAAAAGGCCACAACGCGCTGAGTTGGAGTGGCTGCAGCAGAGAGGAAGGGTAGCAAATGAATAGTGTATGGAGGGTAGCGGGTAGGAACAGAACTGGTAACCAGCCAGCCGGCTGAAGTAGTAAGGCAGTCTTGGTGTTGTTGCCGACCGCTACCACTGTTGAAAAAGTCTTTATCCTTTTGTCAAATATGCTGTACACATCTACACGTCAGCTATAAAATGTAAGTCTGTCTGAGTGCCTGCATTTATATTTTTAATATTTTTTTTTTCATTTGGCATTTGCCACCACGCCACCATTAAGTTTTTCATATTTTCTCATTTACTTTTGCTTTTCCCGTTGCACTTTTTTTTAACTTTTGCCAACTATTTTTCCCCCACGAAAAATTTCTTTAATTTTTATTTTATCTTTCTTTGTATAAGTTGTGGTTTCTGTGAAACTATGTCCATATGTATTTGTGTGAAAGAATTCGCCTACATTTATTTTTCCTATTCATTTCTGCTATTTGATTTCCTTTCGTAGTTTTTGTTTTGGTTTTGCTTTCGCTGCGATAAAACGCTTCGAGCGCATTTCATTCATTCATTCATTCATTTGTTCACTCACTCCTTTGCGCATTCATTCATACATTCATTCATACAAAACTTACCTCTTTCAATTCCGGAAATGTCTTTTGCGTAGCCTGAAATTAGAAAGAAGAATTAGGAAAATTAATGTTTTAGTTACGTTTCGGGTTGCAGTCGGCGGAAATTTTCGCCACACCTCCTGCAAATCATTAATTATAAAAAATATCAGTATGTATGTATTGAAAGAGAAACTCAATTTTGTGAGGGTGCGAGCAATGTGTGATACACTTTCAAATTAATTAAATCGGTAATGGCTAAGTTTGCTTTACACTTGAGATAAAAGATGGTAGGCGAGAATGGCGGAAATTTATATAAATACTTAATTAAAATAATTTCTATACAGGGTGTCCCAGAACTCAAGCCGAAACGGGGTGACAGGATTGATTGTAACCATCATGAGAAAAATTAGAAAAAAAATCTATCCCATGCAGTTTGAAAATTATGGGCATTTAAGAAAAACCTAGAAATTTGGTCAAACTGTCGGTTATTGTGGTTAATTTTTATTATTTTTGTTCATTTAAACTTTGGAACCTTAACCCTAAATAACATTTCTAGATCCTAAGTCAAAAATAATGATACAATTGCCCCAAGTTTTCTAGAATTAAGTCTATTTGTTAAACTATGAATTTAAAATTTTTATAATTTGTCGACTTTGCGTTCGCCCATTTAATCAGGATTGTAAAATGGTACAATACTTGTTAGTTTCATACTAAAAAAAAAACGAGTAAAAAAGAAAAACCTCAAGTAACCTGATTTTTGCTAACCCATTTTACTCAGTTCAAATGTTTTTTATTCGCACAAGCTCTTGGTAGGCTCTTAATTTTTTTTAATTTTTTTTTTTTATTCCAAGAACGCAAGCGAGCTCTACCTCCAGCCCGTATTTGATTCGGGAAATTGCCGCCCTCTGTGAGTGAACGTTGCACATTAACAAACACGCGGTGATCCGGATAGCGCTCTAAATTTGGATATCTTTCCCGATAAAGTCTAGCGGCGGCACTTGCGTTGCATCTGCATTATCCATAAATGAGGTGCATGTTCGCATATTCTTGTGAAGTGTAGCGCGTAGGCATGGTAGATAACAAGAATGCCAACACAAAAGTCCAATTCCAAAAGAGAGAAGCCAAAGTTGCCGGTATGTAATCAACAAGTCCAATTCACAAAAATCCAAGTCCAAAAAGCCAAAGTTGTCAGTACTAAATCAACACAAGCGAATACGGAAAGGTGCGCTGTAGACGAATGAGCGAAACGTACTAACTGCAGTGTTACCGTTACAGCGTCAGACTGGTAGCGTAGCCATTTGCTTGGTATGGCGACTGTATCTGTTTCATTCGCACGCGTTTAAACGACGCATCTCCGTCTCACTGCCTGGCGTCACTATCTGTCTCGCTCGCTCATGGCAAACATGTCCACTATCCATCTCTCTCATCATTTTGCCGTAAAATTAAGAACCTACCAAGAGCTCGTGCGAATAAAGAACATTTGAGCTGAGTAAAATGGGTTAGCAAGAATCGGGTTACTTGAGGTTTTTATTTTTTTACTCGTTTTTTTTTTTTAGTATGAAACTAACAAATATTGTACCATTTTACAATCCTGATTAAATGCGCGAACTTTTAATGGCACTCGCCAAGGCACTTTAGTACATTTTTTTTAAAGCACGGCCTTTCAGAGTCGACAAATTATAAAAATTTTAAATTCATAGTTTAACAAATAGTCTTAATTCTAGAAAACTTGGGGCAATTGTATCATTATTTTTGACTTAGAAGCTAGATATGTTATTTAGTGTTAAGGTTCCAAAGTTTAAATGAACAAAAATAATAAAAATTAACCACAATAACCGAAAAATGGTTACAGTTTGACCAAATTTCTAGGGTTTTCTTAAATGCCCTTAATTTTCAAACTGCATGGGATAGATTTTTTTTCTGATTTTTCTCATCATGGTTACAATCAATCCTGTCACCGTTTCGGCTTGACGTTGAGTTCTGGGACACCCTGTATAAACAATATTTACAATGCTTATTTGTATATGAGTAGTGAGCTTTAGCTCTGACTCAATTTTCTGATTAAATAATTTAAATAAAACTCCTTTTCAGAACTAAAGATTTGAGACATTGCTAGAGGTTTATTTCAATTTAATCTATCTTGATGACACATAACCAGAAATTCTTTAATAAAGTGAAAATAATATGCTGCAAAAGTTAATAAATGGGTACATAACTTAAATTCAAATTTAATTTTAAAAATTTGTTATAAACTTTTTTTTGCCGACTATATTCTTTTCAAGAATTCTGTAAGGTAGTGTTACTAGAAAAGCTGCTTTGACTTGCCTTGGTACACAAATGTCAAACTTTTATAATTCGTTAAAATGGGTGGTTGAGAATGTCAGTGCGTTTGTATTTTCTTTCACTCTTCTTCGCTGAAAAAAGAGTATCAAAAATTTTATATTCGTGTGCCAAAAGTTAAAACAAAATACATGTAATTTTTTGTTTTTGTACCATCGCTACCATCTTACGTACTCGTATATGAAGTTTCCTTGATAATTTGATTTTTTTCCAAAAAAACGTTTACGCTTTCTAAATATGAACAAAATCGGACCATAAGTACTGGTTTACCAAATATGTCGACTCCTGCGCCATCTATCGGATCTTTCGTATTGCATTATCATCGGGTTCTGTGGGTCCAACTGTGAAGTTTCAAGTCTCTAGATCATCGGCGAGTTGGTTGAAAATCGATGGCACGATTTGCCCCTAACAAACATACTTACATACACACATCCAAACAGAGGAAGTTAAATAAAAGCTTGTTAAAAGAGTAAGATTTTGAGTTTTTTAGTAATGGGGAAATTTTCGAAATTTTGGAAGTTCTATACAATCAAGAGACTGTAAATTAATCTTAGCATCAAAATGTAGTATTTATTACCGCCATTAAAATATTAATCTTTCAATTGCTTGGATGTTTTGTTTTTTTTTTGTATGCTTCTTCTCATCGCTGAAGGAAGGAAAACTGCTCCACGTTATACCTTTACAGAGTAGGATTCTATCTCCGCGGTTATGGATTTCTGCTTCGCACTATCTCAAAAGTCATTTAGTTTGTTGCGTACTAAATTTTTTTTCAAAACCAATAATTTTTACAAAAGGTTTTTTTATAGCTTAAATTATTGTAACCAATAGAGGTATGTTGTACATACCTATGAATATACATAAATAGAAGTTCACAAAAGTTGATATAAAACTATTCGTCGATTTAAATAATTAACTTTTAACTGCGCATGTTTATTTTACGAGGAGGAAGCATGCAAAGCCTAACCCCGTCAGTGTGAGACTTTAACCCAAACTAAACCTCTTACCGTCATATACCGTTCCCCTCCCGGTACCACCGTCAAGGATTTCGTCGGGATAATAAGACTGTGTGACTGCTAAAGTTATATATCTAATGAAACGCAAAAAATATGCATACTTAGAATTTTGAATGCCCCTTGTCTGAAACCTCGTTTGGTATCAAAAGGCTCGTAGAGGTCTTTCCCAATTCTGACGGAGCTGGTGGTATTTCTCGACGTCATTTTACACAGCCGCATTAGTTTCGCAGGATTACGAAATTAAGACATCGTGGCATAAAGACAACTTATTTTCGTGATGCCGAAAGCGGCTTTGAAATCGAAAAATAGAAAGTGTGTGGCGGGCGTATTCTCACGGGTCTTTTCCAAATTTTGGCGTATTGCCAATAAGAGATCTATGGTGGATTTGGCAGATTTAAAGGTATATGTTTATTGTGAATAATTTGTTTCGAAAAAATGTGGTATTGCAACCTTTTCTTAAATTCAGGGGTCAGCTGAGTAATTCGGAATTTGAAATTGTGATTAAGGAATATATGTAATATATAAAAATCTCGTGTCACGGTGTTTATGGTCGAACTCCTAAACGGCTCGACCGCTCTTTATGAAATTTTTTTTTATATACATGGTAGCTTTGAGAATCGGATGTAAAGTATATTTCATACCGCTAGATGCAGGGGGCGTGGCACCTCCTATACATACCGAATTTTTCATATTGCATACCTCTGGAAGTGTTCATGGTAGAGTACTCGAACATGGTATGGAGATATATGTATATGAAAACAATCGCATACTCATGGAGAAAAATTGCGGTTATTGGAAAAGGGGGTTATGGTGCAGTTCATGGCCCCCACTAGGGATGTTTATTTTTCAGCTGTTACAGATCCCGGGATTTTCGGGATGGCGTTGTCACAATCCCGGGAACCCGAGATTAGTCCCGGAATTTAGATATTCATTACTTTTCAACAACTTGAATCGAAAAAATTGCTTCTATATTATTTATATTGTTTGAGAAGCTGAAAGTGACGTTTATATTTTTTTCTCTCTGACCGCAGGATTTATTTTGAAAGACTTTGTAATTTCAAAGATATGATTAATTCCTAAAATTGTTAAAAAAAAAATTCAATGAAATGTAGAATAAAAACATAGGTAGCAAATGCAATGGGAAATTTCTTTAGAATTTAAAAGATTTAAATTTTTTGGATGCACAAGGACGAGTAGGTATTTTTTAAGCTGACAAAGTTAGAAGAACGAAATTCGAGGATATTATTGAGTTAATATAAGCCCTTAACGTATAATTTTTTCAAAAACAAATATTCCGAAATTTCAAGGATACAATTTCAAAAAGACATTGTCAGTATTTACCAGCCCTTCTGCACCAGAAACTTGAATCTGTTTAAATTCTACAGGATTTCCTCATTAATTTTATACCCGCACTTCTTCTCTAAGCACCTTTCTCTGAATTTTTAAAATCATTTTTGAATAACTGACACCGGAGTGAGAAACTGAAAACGCAATTTTACTATATTTGGCCCATAGTTTCGCGAATATATTGATATTTGTGTTTAAAATTTACTATCACGTGGTGTTATATGTATAATGAGCCAGACATATATAAAA